TTGATTGTTTAAGTGTCCTCCTCCGCTGTTTTGCGTCCTCGGCATTGATAACAGAGAAATAAATATCCTGTATGTATATCCTGAGCTCTCATGGTTGCATTCAAGTAAATTACCATAAAAATCGCTGTAGAAATATTTTGGCATCAATCATTGAGCATAAATTGCTAAATAGCTGGGAGCCCTCTTAGCATTCAGAGTGATTTCATTGGCATTCTTGTGGCAGATGACTTCAGCCACACACACAAATAAGAATGTGAGAATTATAAGGGAGTTTATACCGCATGAAAAAATGTATTTTTTAATGGGAGAACTGATTGAGCTTGAGGGAGAAATTAGGTAATTATCTCCAGACAGACACCAGCGCTGCTCTCCTCTGTGAACACAGACCAACACTCAGTCATTATCAAAGTGATTAGCTTCAAGTAGATTTCTTAAAAACAAACTCAGTCCGGCCTACGTTCACTTGGGAACCTGCAATATAGTCCCAGAGTGTCAAACCACGACTAATTTCTTCAGTTTTTCTGACACTCGTTTTCTGTCCCGTCCTTGAGTCAGACCGTGACGCCATGCTGGGCAGTGACAAGTGGAGGAGCAAAACAAGACGGCTCAGTTTTCTCGGTTTTGCGTCTTGCAAACCAGAAATTTTGCCAAGATGAACTACAAGACCAAGAGCAACAAAATCACATCTTGTAAAAAACAGTATAAAAGCAATGATAATAACATGAACAACAAGTGGGGGAAAACTATCAAAAGTAGTAAAATCATTTCATAAAGTACAATAAAAACACTTAATAAAGCCAAGTTTGACTGAGTCAAATGAGGCATTTTTGTATAAGTAGATCAATTATCCCATAAAGTAGGAGTAGGATTGCAAAGGGGTGGACAGCTTTGTGGAGTGGTGTGGACAGATCCACCTGCAACTCTATGTTGGAAAAACTAAAGAGCTGCAGATGGACAACAGGAAGACCAGCCCCCCCAACTCTATCAACATCAAGGGTACTAAGATGGACACAGTGGACTGCTACAAGTACCTGGGGGTCCACCTAGACAATAAACTGGACTGGACAGCTAACACCAGCGCCCTCTACAAGAAAGGGCAGAGTCGCCCTTTTTCTTCTGAGGAGACTCAGGTCCACATCTGCAGGACCATGCTGCAGATGTTTTACCACTCGGTGGTCTCCAGCGTCTTCTTCTATGCTGTTGTGTGCTGGGGCAGCAGGGTGAAGAAAGCTGATGCCAACAGACAAGAAACTCATCAAGAGAGCTGGCCCAGTTCTGGGAGTGGAGCTGCAGTCTCTGACTAGGTCTGGACGATATGGCCAAAACTTTTATCACGATATATTTCTTAATTTTGGTCGATAACGATATAATTCCGATATTGATAAACAATATAAAAGCCTCAGAAAAACTGTACAAATAAATTAATGTTCACCTTTTTTTTTTTTTGTATTTAGCCTTCAAAGAAATTGAAATCACCGTCAAATAAACATAAAACTCTCAACTTTGTCAATATTAATAGTTTTAACTTTAAAGAACATAACCTAACCTCTTTGGATACAGCTGGGGGTGTTGTTTCAGGGACACGTTGGCTCAAACTTTTATTCTGTTTCATCTTCTGGGCATATTCTATCGAGTGGAACAAGTCAGATGTGTTTCCACCGCTAGTTGGAACGACTCGCCATCACATTTTGCAGCACACTGAAACCTGCAGTTTATCGGATCTTAGATAGCCGAACCACTTCCACACCGCCGAATTAGTCTTTCCTCTTTTATCAATTATGTCACCTGCTTCCTCTTCACTTGTGAAACCTTGTTCAGTCACATTCTGACGGTCATGGGCACTCATTTTGCAGTGAAAACTTAACACATGTTGGAGATTAGCCTAGCCTGCTACCGCTAACTCCTTCTGGACTTGAGCTCTGCGTAACATCTACGTCGCCACACGCTTACGTAGTTGTGTCGTGGCTTTTTCTGTTCGAGTTGAAACTGAAGCAGCCACTTCAACTCGGAACAGAAAAAGAAATGTGTCAGTGAAATGCTGTAATCCTATTGGAATGTTGAAAATGTGCTTAAAACTCATAATCACCATTATTGAATAAAAGTATATCGTGATGTATATCGATATCGAATTATTGCCCAGACCTATCTCTGACAGAGGTGTCTGAGCAGAGGATGCTCAGGAAACTGCTCTTGTCTCACCGCCTGCATGCCACACTGGACTCTTACCACAGCACCCTCAGTCGTAGACTGAGACCACCGAGGTGCTCCACAGAACGCCACAGGAAGTCCTTCCTCCCTGTGACTATCAAGCTTTTCAATTCCTCCCACTTTCTACACATAGGACAATAAAATTAATCCTGCATCACAATAAACACTTTAATGTTTCTGTCTGCACCTGACCCGTTTTAGACCTTAATTGTTGGTATTTTTATATTCTCTGTTGTTTTTTATTTCTTGTGTGATTCCTTGTGTATGTTCCTTTATATTGAAACTCTGGCACAACAATTTCCCGCGGGATCAATAAAGTTCTATCTTATCTTAAAATTTTCTGAAACATTAAAAAAAATTTCCATAGGACGTTAAATTGGGAACTTTTGCAAATACTCCAAACTGGAAACTTTCAAAGGACATTTTAAGAATTCACAGCAAGAAACTGAAAACTGGGAACAATTTAAACAAACTGGATCACATCCAATCTAAATATAAACATTTTGTTTTGCTGTAGGCGGATGATGAGTTTCATTCAAAGTTTATCAAAGTAACTAATTTAATTACCTCATTTGCATATGATGACACCTTTTAGAGAACAATGGACTTAGAACATTTTTTGTTCTTTTTAATTTTTGTTGCAAACTTTTTATAACTTTATGTACACAGCAATCTTTAGGGTGTGAAGCCTCTGATTTCATGGTACACTAATAAAATCTGGTTGTTTTAGGTAAGATTATGCTAAAATATATTTCCCAAAATATATTTAAAATCCCCGTCAATAGACCTTCAGGATATTAATATATATTAATATTAATTTGTTTATTGTCTAAAACCTTGCGAATTCTCATGGAAAGTTTCTAACTTTGAAAATTCCCCAGTAATAATAATAGGAATCTGCACCGAACAGAAAAGTAAGCCAGCGGTCCATTTATAATATTAAACTTTTCCCCAAATCAAATAAAAAATCTCATGCAATTTTTTTTTCAACCTAACAGAATTAGTTCATGTTTTCAACTACAAATATTCCAAAAAACAACCGATATAGTTCGTCAGCGCATACGTTTTTCACGTGTAAAATATGGAAATAGTTATGATAAACAAATATTAGCTATGTAATTAAAAATACCAAAACAGTATTATTTAACCACTGAAAAAGTTGTTGGACATTTATTAAAAATTGTTTTCTAAAAGTTTGGGGTAGTCTCAAAGGATATTTGTGAAAGCCTTTTTAGACCGTTCAATTCAAGACATTATTTAACTCCTAAATGTTGAATTTTAAAATGATGTAAGTTTCTGGAACACCCCCTCCAAGCTGAGAGGGGAGTCATTGCCTCAGATAGAGTTTAAGAATCTGGGCGCAGGTGACGAAGGAGGTGGCAGGACGGAGCGGGAGCTAAATAGACGGTTTGGGGCCTAGTCCTCAGTAAAGAGGGTGTTGCTTTGGTTGGTTGTTGTGAAGAGACAGAGATGAGTCAAAGCTCTAGATGCTATAGACCACATGTCAAAAACTCAAGGCCCGGGGGCCAAACGTGTTCCTCGTTGACGTCTTATATGGTCCCCAAGATGATATTTTAAACAAAAAATACTTTTATCACATTAATTTGTTTGGTAATCTTTAATTATGGTGTCAAAAGAGCAACAGAGAACATCCATTGACACCAATCAAACTCTTGTTGAGGAACCTGCAACCAAGAAAAGACGTAGGTAAGATGGGGAAGCTCTAGACCTATGGGTAAGATGGGGAAGCTCTAGACCTATGGGTAAGAAGGGGAAGCTCTAGACCCATGGGTAAGATGGGGAAGCTCTAGACCTATGGGTAAGA